GAGAGAGAGAGAGAGAGAGGAGAGAGAGAGGAGCGCGACATGGACGAGCAGGGCGCGATTACGAGCACGACGCGCGGTTGGCCGACCGGGTAACGACCGATCGAGCCGGCCCGTCCATTTTAGTTGCGTTCGACGGGACGCGAGGCACACACCGGAGGCGAACGTCTACGGGCACGAAGATCGAAGATGAAGATGTACCACCTGTGGGCGCAGAAGCAACAATTGTCCGCCGTGTATCGCGGTGGAGGGTAGCCCGACTACATGGCTCGTACCGGGTGTGGCTGGGGTGCAACTGCCAATGCAGCGTCGTCGAGCAGCGTCGGCCCGCGTCCTGGGCGCCTGCGTCCTTTCCTCCTCGCTTCGTGCAGAGCTCCTTCTCGCCCCGCGGCTTGGCCGGTATCGCCCTCTCTCTCCCTCTCCAACACTCCTCCTCTTCCACCCATTTTCTTCCCCTCCTTCTCTCTCTCACTCTCTCTCTTCTCCTTTCCTCGTTTCGTTCCGTTCCATCCACCACTTTCCAATCCTCTTCCGTCCACTCCGTCCACCTTCTCTCTCTCTCTCTCTCTTCTCTCTCTCTCTCTCTCTCTCTCTCTATTCGTCCGCGTTCAGTTTCACATCCTCGTCCACCCCCCTTTCTTCGCTCCGCACGATTTCCTCGCTTCTCCCTCTCCTTTCAACTCGACCAACCACCCCTCTCTCCCTCCCTCCCTGTCGTACGAGCGGCTCGCTCTCCGTTTCGCTTTTGCTCCGTTCCCCACCTCCGCCACACTCGTCGAGCTGCCACGCCGTCGCACGCACACGAACGCGCGCGCGCCTGTGTGCATGCGGATGTAACGTGTAAGCGCATACCGGCACCGCCGCGTATACCGTAAAGCTTGGCCGGATCGAGGGGGAGGAGGAGGGGGGTTTGGAACGAGGAAGCTGAGCCGAAGAGGGAGAGAAGTTATCCCGGAGGGGGTAACCCGCCACCCCCTTTGCCGATGTGGCTCTTGCCCATCGATTTTGTACGAGTTCGGGGCCGGAGCAACACCTGTTACCGCGTCGGATGGGAACGATGGGCGGCGGTGCGGGAGGAGCAGGTGGTGTAGGGGAATTGATGGCGCGAGAGGGTGCTCGCGAGGCGAGTTCTGGCGAGATGAAGAGGGAAATAGCTGGTGGATAGTGACACGGGGAGAGGAGTGGAATGGAGGAGGGGGGATACTGGATGAATAGAAGGCGGCCGTGTACAAGTGGAGGACGACGCTATACGGCGAACGCGTGTAAGCGAGACGAAGAAGGTGTATACGTATACACGTCCATCGAACGGAGAGAAAGTATAAAGTGGAGAATGGTGGGAAGGAGACAGAGCTTGCGGGAATTTTCGTCAGGGAGAAGGACACGGATGGTAAACAGAGACGGAGGGTGGCGAAGCAGGATGAAGGAGCGGGTAGCGCGGGTAGGTGAGAACGTGCGAGGAAAGAAGACGAGGATAATGGAGGAGGGCGGCGAGGCGGAGGAGGAAGAGAGAAAGGAGACGTCGGCGGCGGGCAAATAGCGACGTCGAGGAAACGCCGACGCCAATCGATAGCACCGACCCCGGCGTCGTGCCGCGTCCGCTGCCGGGGTTTTGCGATAGCGCATCGTGTTCACCTTTTCTCTTTCGCTCCACTCTCCTTCCTCCTCTCTCGTTCCAAGAGGAAGAGAGAAGATCCTTCTCCTCGCCAGCTTTCCGCTCTCTCCTTTTGCTTTTTCCTCTCTGCTCACTTCTCTCTCTCTCTCTCCCCCTCTTTCCACGCTTTGTTGCAGGCATTTTCCCTTCGCCTCGTGGCTATGTAAGTTTGCGAGGTCTTCGTTGCGCCTCCAGGTTTTCGTCCCTCTTCGTCCACGTGGTTGTGTGCAGCAGGAGGAGGAGGAGGATGCCGCGATGGTTTGTATGCGTACCTTATAATCTCGACGCTTATTCTCGGACCGTCATCTAACCGCTCGTATCGTCTGCGTCGCTCCTCCTTTTCATCCCTTTTCTCGCTTCCTCTCTTTATTTATCCCTTATATGTTTTCCTTGGTTCAAGGGATACCTTGGTTAAAGGGTATGTACGATTCTCTTCTTCTTTCTTTTTTCCTCCTACTTCTCTTCCACGCTGGCGTCGATTTAATGATACCGAGGAGGAGTGGTTGAAATTCCTCGTTGGAGAGGAGAAGTTTTTGGCTCTAACTGCTGCCAGTTGGGGTGGGGAAGCACACGGTGGCGGAAGAAAGTTTAAGACAGAGAGTTTTGATGGATTATTGTACCGTAAGGTATTAAATGGACAACGATTAATCCGTTGCAATTGTCTATGTATTAGGGGAATTAGCTCGGGGTGATCTATCAGGTAAGTAATCGTTTTAAATTTTTCCCCTGAGTTACTGCTACTACTACTCATTCAATCTATCTTATATTCGATATCATTGGATTGCGATTCAAAATAATTCAATAACGCATAACGTCTTCAAAGAAACAAAGACTCTGTTATCAAGATTAATTAAATTAAAATTCCACGATGATTGATCATCCTAAAAAAAAAAAAAAATCTTCGACGAGAAAACGTCGAAGAAGAAGAAATTCCTCGAAAATCGTTCGAGGGATATATATATATAGTTGGTTTTTGACATAACGAATTCACGTGTAGCAAGATATTTCGATTGTGGAAGCTCGAGCGTGGGTGGAAAAAAAATTATCGTTGAATGGAGAAAGGAAATTTAAAGGGCGTCTTTTCATAGATTAACGGGATTCAATCCTTTTTCCACGCGTTCTTCTTCGATATTCGCTCGATTCAATCGACTTTAAAAAAAAAAAAAAAAGGGAATATCGTATACTTTTAGTTTTTTCCCCCATTTTCGCGAAATGTTCTTATTAATATTTATCGGGACCGATTTCAAGCCCCGACAACGAGACAATTAAAACGCTGAACCGAATTCAACGTAAGCCCCGAGGATTAAAGGAAGTCTGATTAGCGAATCGTGTTACCGTTTGATCTTCAATTAAACGGTAGAATTCGCGATTGCTACTCATCTCACGTCCTCGTGAAAATGAACAGCCTTAGAATTAAACTCTGTTTATCCTTCCTTTTCTCTCTCTCTCTCTCTCTTTACGTATGATAAAATCATTTGAAACTTTTTACCGCATGTACATATGGCATATATAAAATGTATAAAAATATATATTTGAGATAATCGATCTCGTTATTTTTCTTTTAACGAAAATTCATTTTAATTCAAAAAAAAGTAGTTTCTAAATTTTTCCATGTATCATAAAGATAATAAAAGATGGATCGAGCCGGTTTCCAAACATCTTGGCTTATTTTTCTTCGGAAGACGTCTGACAAAGTGCTTTGTTTGCGGAAGACCAGTTGCTCGCGAATAAGATTTGCATGCGAAGGGTTATTACGCGATATGCGGAATATTTTATGGAATATTTCCACGTGGCACGTCAAATAACAGAATTGTTAAAACTTGTACCCTCAGGTGGAATGTAAACGTGGAAACGTTTTGCGAGATAATATTGTTAGAGAGGGATGTGTTTATCACATCCGCGTGCCGGTACACGTTGAAACTTGTAAACGCGTCAGCGTATGGGATACCGTGAGTGGAACTGACGTAGAAAACTTCATTCTTTATTTTAGTATCCTTTAATGGAAAGCTTTTACGGTATACATTGCAGCCTTAATTTAATGCTTTTAATATTTCTCGTGTTACCTCTCCACCCAGAACAGTCGTGTTTCGATGTTTCCACTTGTGCGTGGATGCTTTCGTCGCGTACTTCGAAACGAAAATTTTCGTATATCGTATAAATCCAATTTTCCATTTTCGTAGTTCGATTTTAAATGATAATTGTGAATTTTACAAACGCGTTTTAAACACTCGATATATATATATATATTTTTCTTTTAGAAGAAAATTGGTTAAAATTGGTAATCGTGCGTTGAATTAATTTTATTCCAGTTCTTAGTTCTTAGATCGAATGATTCAACGGTATTAAATTTCGGTATTATTTCCATTCATTCATACAATTTATACATCGTTGACTCTCATCAAACAAACTCTCATTCGTTATAACAAAACACTTTAAACCTTAGATATAATCAAAAAGAAATCCTTCTTCGGCATTGAACAAATTACAAATTTCTACGAAAATATCTTATCCAGTGTTGAACGAACACTTTTTACAAAAACGTGGAAAAGTTTCGCATCGATCGAAAGAAGGATGCGAAAGTTTACTGGACAGGCCAGACTCGTCGAAGGCAGACTTCCGGTTACCAGCAATCGTGGCCGGGGCTCTTACTCTTCGATCGCGTTAGATGGCCGGGTAATTGCGGGATACATTCTATTTTAGAATCTCCTCGGCAACTCCCACTTCGCCGTCCATTCGCTCGTTCTCGCCCCGGTAATTGCGCATATTCACCGGTTGCTCGGCAACCTTCGTGCCACGTCGGCTGAACCGGGACCGCGGCTCTCCTCCGGGGCCGGAAGCTGGATTCGATTCGGACGCCGATTAATTGGAGCCTGTGTTTGTTTCGATAAACGGTATCCTGGGATCGGTGAGAGAATTTTTGGGGCCACGCGTTTCCAATTATCGCCGAATTTAAGTTAAAAATTCGGGAGGCGTAATTTCGGAATAAATTTTGATTATTATCTTGGAAAGGTGGTAGGGAAATTGTTTCAACATAATCCTCGAAAAAGTTCATCATCTTACATGGGGTACACGCACGAAACTGATGATCGATTAAAGCGGCCTGACTGATTCACTGGCTTACGAGCTGATCACGAGCAGAAGCGGCGCGGCTAGGTCTTCATAAATCAAAGGATTAGCCGGGGATTACTTGGAGAATGAAATACGCTCGTGGCCGAGTCACGATCGTGAATTCTGGATCTGGTTTGTTGAACCAGAGTTATCCGCCAATCGCGAGATCTCCCTTTTATATCCCTTTTTCTTCCCAACCAAGACAGAAGTTCGAGAATAAGGGGAGAGGGAGAGACACGTTTCGAAAAGTGAGCCGGTAAAATTGCTTGTGCAAGCGAGAGAAAATCGGCCAATAATTTTTCCCTCCTCGCTTTAAAAGGTCGCGTGACGCTATGCATCGGGCGGGAAATGCATCGAGAATGGACCTGTTTGGGAATCGGTGCACGTCCCCGTGCACCTTTACGTGGATATCTCCTCTACGTGATTTAATCTGCATGGCAAAAGTACCATGGATATATATATATATATATATATATATATATATATATGTGA